CTCAGTGGTAGAGTGCTTGCCTTGCATGCCTGAGGCCCTGGGTTCGATTCCTCAGCACCACATAAGCAAAAAGAAAAAAAGCCGGAAGTGGCACTGTGGCTCAAGTGGTAGAGCGCTAGCCTTTAGCTGAAGAGCTGAGGGACAGCACCCAGGCCCAGAGTTCAGGCCCCACGACCGGACCCTCCCCCCAAAAAAAACAAACACAAAAAACCAATGAACAAGCCGGGTGCCTTATGGCTGTAATCCTAGCTACTCAGGAGGCTAAGACTTGGGGATCATGGTTTGAAGCTAGTCTAAGCAGGCAAGTCCATGAGACTCTTCTTACTCTTCAATTAACCACCAAAAGCCAGAAGTGGAGCTGTGGCTCAGTGGTCGAGTGTCAGCCTTGAGCAACAAAGGGACAGTGCCCAGTCTTTGAACTTAAGCCCTGGGACCAGAATATAAACACAAAACAAACAAACTTACTGCCTCTCCAAACACTCAGAATGTGAAACTGGAAAAGTTTCATCAAGAACTTTACAACTGATTTGATTGGGAAAATCCGCCTCCTTCCCCCCCCCCCGCCCCCCCACACTTTAGGGGGTGTGAAATGTGTGGCTTTTCTTATGTACCTGTTGTAACACCTTAAGAGCTCTAGGTCCCCAGCTCTTTCCCATTGTGAGACTGACAACTGACTAATGAGATTAGCAGCTCCAGCTCAGCTAAAGGCCAAGCCAGAAAAAAAAAAAAGACAGCCTGGATCTGAATTACATGGCCGGGAAATCCATCCAATCATTAACTAGAGTAACCATTATTACCTCTCCCAATCAGAGGAGGAGCAGCTGTTAATCTTTGGTGGCCTGTGAAGGCTGGTGGCCTTTGTGCTTGACTTCTCTGTAGACAGTGATTATGTTCTTTGTGAGCTTGGAGGACGGAAGGCCTTCCTAGCTTTTTAGATAGAGGTGGCAGATGGGGAAAACTGTCTGCATGTTCAATTAGCAGGATAGCCTAGATTTGCTCTGAGCATCTGCGACACCTGTTTAGAGGAAAGACAAGTCGGATTTGGCAACCTCATCAATTTAGAACTTAGTTGCCCCATTTATAGAGATGGAGGATTTGAGAGCAAAAAAAAGTATTATTATTATTTTTTAACAATTGTCTTCCTCCATATGGAAAACTTCCCTAACACTTGAAGGATATTTGTCCTACTCATTTACTATTTACTCTTCACTATTAATGTTACTTTGGGGGCTTTACTGGTGCTGGTCTTGGGGCTTGAACTCAGGGCCTGGGTGCTGTCCCTGAGCTTCTGTGCTGAAGGCTAGTGCTCTAACACTAAAACCACAACCACTTCTGGCTGTTTTGGTTAATTGGAGATAAGAGTTTTACAGAAAATCCCATTTGAGATGGCTTTGAACCATGATCATCGGATCTCATCCTCCTTGAGTAGCAAGGATTACAGGTGTAAGCTACGACGCCCAGCTATCTTTACTAATTAATATTAGCTTAAAAGAAGCAGACGTAATGAGCTGAAGTCTCTCCTTCTGTTTTATCTCTTATACACTAAACCAGCACTGCTGGGGTCTTTGTAGTCCCAGCACCTGCGGTAAGTGTCTGTGCTCAGGTTCTCAGGTGTAAGCCTTAACTGTGAAAGATCAGGTTTCTGGGGACAAGGATAGCTCATGAATGAAATAATCATTTGTGGAGATGCGGTGCCAAATTGAGTGCTAATCACAATCTGCAGTCTGAAAGCTTGGGTGCAGCATATGGCAAGTGGGGCTAAGAACGTCTTTCTCAAGACTAGAGAATGCTCCCTAGCATGCAGACCCTTAGGAAGGCTTTCCCAGGGGAAGATGAATTGTGCCCATTTCTGACCCATTTGGATTAAGAAGCAGCAGCACTGTGAGAGAGGGCAGAATAGAAGTTGAGGAGAGTAGACTTTAGTGCCCTCTGCTTGCTTGCCTTCCTTCCTTCCTTCTTTCTGTCTCTCTTCCTGTCTTTCTTTCTTATCAGTAGTGGGACTTGAACTCTGGGCTTGGGTGCTGTCCCTCAGCTCTTCAGCACAAAGCGAGTGCTCTACCGCTTGAGCCCCAACGCCACTTCCGGTTTTCTAGTGGTTTATTGGAGATAAGAGTCTCACAGACATTC